CAAAGCTGGTCTTTTATTTCTTTTTAAATAAAGGCCAGTCTTATAATCAATTGCAGATGCTTTCAGAGCCCTCCCCCAAGATTTGCTTACCATGTCCCAAACCACGGCTGCAACTCCCAGTTGCCTCCAGTCCTGGCGGATCTAGATGGTGTGGTTTGCAAAGGAGAAGGTGGCAAGAGGCTTGTGGAATTTCTGCAATCCCATTCCCGTGGTCTCCTGATAGGGCACCAGGGCCATTTCCACTGTGCCAGGTCTCTGTTTCCTTTAACCTGTTGGGCAAAAGAATCCTGCATGCTCTGGCCAGAAAGTGCATTCTCTCTTAGGTGGCCTGAATACTTTTTTAAAGGTCATTTTATGGATTCAAATGAATAAACAGATGTGGAAAGCTTTAGTTGAATTCCTTTTACATGGTTCTTCCAGTCTCATGGGAAGTGAGATGTGGCTCTGAATTCATCCCAAAGGGTGTCTTTGGTCAACAGCACCCAGAACGGCACAACTCCTTCAGGAAGGCCTACACACTTCGCTGTCAGGACTCAGGGGGGATTGAGGATGAGCAAGGCAGTGGTGCCAGCACAGGACCCAGGAGAAGATAGAGCTTTCTACACTGCCCAGGCCCGTGTGGACTGAAGCTGCACCTGCTGAGGTGGGCACGGTGTTTCTGCTGTTTTATTTTGGTCTGGCCTCCACCCCCTCAGCCACGGACCTATAGCTGCACTGAGACTATGTACGGCTAGATGGTCCTGCTTTTCGGTGGACAGTGGATGTACTCTCACCTCCCAGAGACTGGCAGTTAGACACTGGCGGCTTCTGAGTCATTCATGGGGAGAGCGCGGCCCTAGGTCCAGAACAGACTCGGGCGTCCGCGGCTAGGAGGCCTCCCTGGGCTAGGAGTTGCCGGGGGTTTGAAAGCTGGCCACACCCCCGATCATGGCAGGGGGGTCCCCTCTGGGGCACTGGGCCAGCCTGGGCTAGGGGCCACCAGTGCTTTGAAGGTCGGCCACACCCCCGATCCAGGCGGGGGTCCCCTCATGATGACTGGTCGTTTCGTCATTTCAGTTGTGACACCTCTTGGCCTTTTATTATTAGGATATATACTAGAGGCCCGGTGCACAAAATTTGTGCACTTCAGCAGGGGGTGGGGGGCGGGCCTCAGCCCGGCCTGCACTCTCTCGCAGTCCAGGAGCCCTCAGGGGATGTCCAACTGGCAGGCCCATGTCTGACTGATGGCTTAGCGGGACTAAGCAGGCAGCCGGACATCTTAGCACTGCCACGGAGGTGGGGGAGGCTCCCACCACCATCGCTGAGCTCACCAGCTGTCAGCTGGCTGAGTGATGCTCCCCTTATGGGAGTGCACTGACCACCAGGGGGCAGCTCCTGCATTGAGCATCTGCCTCCTGGTGGTCAGTGCGCGTCATAGCGACCAGTCGTTCCACCGTTTGGTCGATTTGCATATTGGCCTTTTATTATATAGGATATATATTGATTTTGGAGAGGAAGGGAGAGGGAGAGACAGAAACATCAATGATGAGAATCATTATCAGATGCTTCCTGCACACCCAATACTCAGGATCAAGCCTGCATAGGCCCTGACTGGGAATCAAACCATAACTGCCTGGTTCATAAGTCGATGCTCAACCACTCAACCACACCAGCCAGGCTGATGAGAAGACTCTTGATTGGAATCTTGAATAGGTTTACTTATAATTTGCCATAAAGAGGGATAAAGTGGTACAAGCAAAGGAATTGTACTTGCAGAACTGATAAGCAGAAAAACAGAGGTGAGCCTGTAAATCTGTAAGTGGCTCAGTATGGCTGCATGGCTAATGATTAGGAAGAGGGCACTTTCTAGAGATTAAATCAGAGAGGAAAAGTAGAAACTGGATCATGAAAGTTTATTTTTTTCAACCCATATTAAGGAGTCTGAAATTTATTTACTTGACCTATACTATAACTTTAGCCCATGCTACTATTTCTTTAAAATTTTGACTCACTTTTTGTCCTACAGAATATTGTTGATTAAATCACAGGTCTTAGATGTTAGTTATATCTTTGTAATTTGTGTTGAAATGAACACATAAGTATCAAAATAAAATGTTCTTCCATGTACTCACTAAAGTCACCTGTGCACAACCATGAGTACCATATTTTGAAAAACAGAATCAGAAGCAATGGAAACCATGTAAAGATTTTAAGCAGCCAAAAAACACCATCAGGTTTGCCTTGGATATATATTTTGGCAGTTAATCACTTTGCACTGAATGGAAACAAGTAAACGTCACACAAATAAGACCACAAACTAAGAAACTTGCACAATAGTCAAGGTGAGCAATGAGATAGGAACAAAGACAGCAACAGTGGGAGTGAGGGGAGGGTCTGGATATAAAAACATTCAGGAGATAGAATTGACTAAGAGTAATGACTGGGAAAAGGAAGGAGTTGGGGACAAACTCCAGGGTTCTAGAATGGACAGCACAGCAGATAACTGTCTATGCACCAGGACAGTAAATGGAGAGAAAGTCGATTGGGAGAGCAGGGCAGGGTTTAAAGGAAAATGATTATTTTGGTCTGCAACATGCTGCATTTGAAGTGTTTGTGGAATACTCATGTAAGTGCTTGAATGCCTAAGTGTGGGGCTCGGGGCGTCTCTAGAGCAGTGCTGCCCAGTAGAAATATTCAGTGAGCCACCATGATAATGTTCAAGTGGTCATATTAAAAAAAGGTAAAAAGATGTAGATGACAAAAAAAAGACATAAATGAAATCAATAATGTATCCTATCTAATGATAGACAAAGATGGTAATTGACCATACTTTCGCTACACCTCCCATGGGCTAATCAGCGCAATATGCAAATTAGCCTCCAACAAAGATGGCAGCTAATTTGCATACTGCAGGCAAGGCAGGACAGCGCAAGCCGCCATCCGGGCCCTGTGTGTTGTCTAAGCCCCGCCCCCAGCCGGACCCTGTGTGCCACCTAATCCCCGCCCCCATCCGGGACCCCCGTGTGCTGCCTAAGCTCCACGCTGCCTAAGCTCCGCCCCCAGCCAGGACCCCATGGCGATTAGAAAGCAGGAAAGTGCCGCCCACAGGCAGCACCCAGCAAGGCCTGCCCCTGGGTCGCCACAGTGATCCCAGAGCAGGAAAGCACGACCTGTAGGCAGCACCCCACCCTGGCCACAGCTCAAGGGAGAGTACAACACGCAGTGGAGGCCAGGAGCCTGAGAGATCAACAGAAAGGGGTGCCTGCTCCAAGACTCCACAGTGTGGCTGGGGGCAGGCCCCCAGCAGAAACACACACACACGGGATGCCTGCTCCGAGCCTCTGCTGCCAGACTGTGGCTGTCAGTAGGACATCCACTGAGGGCTCCTGGACTGAGGGGCAGGCTGGGCTGAGGGAACCCCCACTCCCCAGTGCACGAATTTTGTGCACCAGGCCTCTAGTTTTATATAATCCAACATATCTAAAATATTACATTTCAAGATGAATCAATATAAATGCTATTGAGATAATTTTTCTTTTCTTTTTTTTAAGTCTTCATAATCCAGTGCATTTTTTCCACTGAGAGAACATCTCAGTTGACATTCTAAGCATTTGATAGCCACTTGTGGGGGTGGCTTACCGTATTTATTGGACAGCATGGCTCCAGAAGGAAGGGTATGAGAAAGTCAAAGACAACCTGATGAACATCAGTGCTGGGGTGTGTGAATAGGAGTCAGACACTGAAAGAGGACATATCAAAACTGAGTAAGATGTAGCCAAAAAGGTTTGATGGAGAATGAGAGAAGAGCTAACATCAAACCCAGAGAATTTCACAAAGAAGAGGAACACTGAATGGCCTCGAGTGTTGCAGGAAGTCCTCTGGGTTAGGCACGTGGGCTCCAAGGAGACGTAGCCCAGTTTAAATCCTGGCTTGGCTGCTTACAGCTGTGTGCTGTGGCAGAGGCTGTCGACACTATGGATGCCTGGTCCACCTCTGAGTTCACCTGAAGTTTGGGAACCGTTTCCAGCCCACTGACAGCATCCCACTTCAATCCACCACCTTTCTGGTATTCAGGGATGCTCCACTGGCCAGGAAGTCTGTCTCCGTTAGTCCCATGAAAGACAGGAACAATCCTTAGCCACCGAAAGATGATTCAATGGATAAGCACCTCCACCGCCTTGCCTGCCATTGGCACGATTTTAAGGGAGTGCATATGTTTTCTATTGCTGCTGTGAAAAATTACCACAAACTCTGTGGTTTGAAACAACACACATTTATGATCTGAGTTTTGTGAACCCAAAGACTAACATGGATCTCACTCAGCTAAGATAAAGGTGCCAGCAGCACCTTGATCAACGTGCATTCATTTCTGGAAGCTCTAGAGCAGCAGTTCTCAACCTGCGGGTCGTGACCCTTCTAGGGGTCAAACGACCCTTTCACAGGGGTCGCCTAAGACCATCGGAAAACACATATATAATTACGTATAGTTTTTGTGATTAATCACTATGCTTTAATTATGTTCAATTTGTAACAATGAAATTGGGGGTCACCACAACATGAGGAACTGTACTAAAGGGTCACGGCATTAGGAAGGTTGAGAACCACTGCTCTAGAGGAAAATCTTGTTTCCTTACCTTTTCCAGCTTCCAGAAGGCTCCTGTTTTCCCTGATTGTGGCCCCTTATTCCATCTTCATAGCCAGCAACATTGGGCTGAATCCTTCTCACACCACATCTCTCTGGTTCTCTTTCGACTCCATCTTTCACTAAGAAGGACCCTTGTGATTACATTGGGTCCTCCCAGATATTCTAGGATAATCTCTTTTAATTAAATAATTAGCAAACTTAATTGCATGTGCAACCTGAATTCCTCTTTACTTTGTAACATAACATGTTCACAGGTCACAGGCTCCAGAAATTGGGACATAGACATCTTTGGGGCGGGATGGGGGTGGGAGGATGGAGTGTGGTGGCGTTATTCTGCCCATCAAAGGAGGTTCCATACAGTTTTTCAGAGGTGCCAACTGAACCCTGCTGCCCACAGAAGAAACCCACTCATTTACCTTCTTTCTGGCTTTCTCCCTCCCTATCTCCTTTTGTCTACTTCTTGACTTGTGCTTCCTGAGATCACCTCCCAAATACACGCCCTTCCCCCAAAACCTCATCTCAAGATGTGCCTTGGAGGGACCCAAAGTATGACGGTAATATTGGGTAACTTACTCAATCGGTCTAAGCCTTAGTTCCCTCCACCACGAAAGTAAAATATATAATAGTATCTTATCTTATCCTGAGGCTGTTGGGAGGATTCTGAGTTGACCTTCATAAGACACTGTGGGGTGCATCTCAAGTCCACAAGAAGTTAGCTATTGTTGGAGGGTTGGCTGCTGGAGCACAGCAGGCACCAGACTTAAACAGACAGAGGTGGTCTTCCCCCCATGACACTGGCCGTGATGACCAGAGGGGGCTGGGCTGGGGCCAGGGTGGGAGAACTGGAGAGTTTCCTCTGAGACCATCCATTTTCTTCTCGAGGTGCATCTGCTACTGAGGGCAGTAAAGTGTGGTATAGACTTTGGGAGCATAATGAACATTAGGAATACGTACCTAAAGATTTTTGAGCTTCCAGAAAAGTCCAGTTGGCCTGAAGGCTGACTGGAGCAAGGATGGAGAGAAGCTCGCAGGAATGAGCATGTTCTGAGGATGCTAGCCTCTGACTCAGCAGGGACCAGCTTCCTGCTCGTCCAGCTATTCCATTTGTGAAATCTCCACTGGGTTCCATCCAAGGTCTCTCACAGTCTCCCCTCCCCCAACTCCCCACTGATTAATCTCACCTTTTTCCTGGCATCAAATATATTTACATGCTGATGGTACCTACATTTGCATCTCAAATACAGAGCACACCCCCCACCCCGAGAGTCAAACCTTGTTTTACCAATTGCCAAGGCAAACTGCGGCTCTCGAGCGATATGCGGCTCTTTGGCCACTTGAGTGTGGCTCTTCCACAAAATACCACGTGCGGGCGGGCATGTACAGTGCGATTGAAACTTCGTGGCCCATGTGCAGAAGTTGGTATTTTGTGGAAGAGCCACACTCAAGGGGCCATGGCTCGCGAGCCGCAGTTTGCCGGCCACTGGTAGACTATCTAGCAGACACCTGAAACAACATTTCCAAAGCTGAACTCACCCCAAAACTTGTTTGCCTTCCAACAGTTCCTGTTTCAATTAGTAGCATCAATAACCACCCAGTCTTCGAAAAATAGAAATCTAAGGGTCATTTTATGCTCCATCCTCCAACTACACATGAAATCCCTTCAAATCCCCTCCCTTTTCTGGATTCCTGATGCTTCAGTTCAAATACCCGGGACCCCATGCTTGACTACTCAGTACCATTACCTCCTGATTAGGGATGTGGCCCCATTTTTCCCTCCGGGAGAGGGCATCCTCCCAGATGTGACACAGGCTTTTTATAAACTAAACCTGTAAAATACAAATCTGACAAAATCTGCTGACTGCGGCCTAAAAACCGAACTCTTCAACATGACGCATGCATCCTCACACAGAGTCCGAATCACCTCTGTTGCCATCACCTTCCATAATCCCAGATTCCGGTTTTTCTAGTGTGACTTTTTTTTTTGGTTGTGCATTTTCTTTTTAATTTTTTTTGCTAAAAACCAAACAAAACTAAAACCCCACAATACCTCACACAATTTTAAAAGGGAGGGGACCAGGAAATAAAGATACCTGTATTCTCCTGCCCTGATTCTTGAGTGGTGCCTGGAGATTGTGTATATCTGAGACTTCACGGGTGATCCAGGTTTGTCAACCACAGGGTTATGCCGTTCATACACAAGTCCTACAAATCACATCAAAGAACCCAGAGAAAGGACACAAAAAAGAGAAGCCTGTTTCCTATGTTGACACCCGCATCACTTCTGCATCCTCACCTAGATGGAAATCCTGGGTAATTGTCAAAGCAATTTTAAGAATGAAAAGGGCATCCATCTGTAATACCTTAATCAATAAAGAAAAAAAATAAAAATAAAGAAGGAAAAGGGCATCTGCATAGCCTACAAACCTGTTAGCATCTTCCTGTTACCCTAAACATTCCTGCCCCAAAATACATTCGGAAAATGCTGAACCAACTACTCTGGAAGTCTGGTCGTCCACACCTTTTAGTTTTAAGGGAAGCCCTACACTATATAGTCTGAAACTACTGTGCTTGGTTTTAGTCAGCAATGCGGGAGAAAGTCGAAAACCTGGACAAGTTAACTTCACAAGCTGCAGCTCTCCTATCGCTGTCAGTTCACACACATACAGCATTAGCCTGCCATGTTTACGCGGATGTGTGCAGAGTAAACAATATGACTGGGGAACCTTAGGCTCGGATTTCCTCCCATCACCTGAAAAGTTCAAGAAACTTTGCAGGACGCTTACATGTTCACTAAGGCTCATACTAACACCCGAGCCAGGCTGAACAATAGGAGAGCCGACGAAGTCGCTGGTCATCCACACGCCGGGGTGATTGTAAGCCCTCCGCCTTGGCAGAGGCGCCTTTTCCTCTGCTCCCACTCTTTTTCAAATGGTCTCCATGGTCATTGTCTGCCAGCGCCACGCGCCGTGCGCGCGCGGGGAGCAGATCCAGCGTCCCGCGCCTCGCCGCGCGGCGGAGCCCCGCCAGGAATTGGAAAACATTCCGAGCCCTTTCTGCGGGGCGAGGAAAAGCCGGTGGCCTGGGCGCCATAGGCTGCTGCCAACGCAAGTCGCAACTTCTGAAACCCATCCTCTTTGCATCATGCAACGGATGCCACCGCTCCTCGCCTCTGCAACCCCCCACCCCTCCCCCGAGACCAATCATTGCCGCGCTCCGTTATTTTTGTACAGTCTTCTTCCCAGAGAAAATGCCAGTTCCTATTGATGATGAATGGCAGTCTCATTTGAAATGTGTTTTCTTGCTCCTAGCTTGTGACCGCTGGTCAGTGCTTCCCAGACCTGATCTGCACCATGATGTCAACAGATTTGGCCACTCAGCAGTCCTACACAACAGGTAATTGGAAAAGAAGTGCTTGCTCCTTTTTTCTTGGGTTTAAAATGAAAATGAAGTACCGTATTTGCCGGCGTATAAGACAACCCCCTAACATTTCCACTCAGAATACAGAGTTTGTTATATACTCGCCGTATAAGACTACCCCCTCTTCCGCACACCTTCCACACACCAAATAAAAGGTAAAACAATATCAGATTTGATTTTAACATTTTAATTTATATTCAAATGCTTATGACATGCAGGAAAACTGTCACAAGGCTGTATGTAATCAAACATATACATAAAACAGTGCAAGTTTATTACCGGTAAACATACCGGTAATTCACTAAAGAAAACACACTCTATAGACTGGTACCGTAGATGCTTCTCAGGAACACAGGCAAGCAGCCCACAACCTAGAGGGACTGTCAATGATAGAAGAAAGAT